CTCTTGAGGGAGGATTGGTGGGGGTGGGGGGGAGGGTTGGGACTGACCGCGCGGTTGGAAGAGGGGGGGAAGGCAAGGTGGGGTACTTTGATTGACAGATAGTGTCGTGAAGAATATTTTTTTTTTATTAACTGAAGATATTTGTTTTAGCTCATAAAATTCATACAATTTACCCGGTCAGAATATAATTTACATTGCTGGAATTCTTATAATTTGGTGATCATTTTGAATATAAACAACATATATTTTGCATTAAACATACAATTTTTAGATAAAAATATTTCTCTAGGTAACTATGTTATCTTTTGTCCAAAATATATGACATTTATATTCAAAATATTCCTGGTCTTACAAGGAATCCAGCAATGTCAATTGTATTATCCTAACTTTAGTTTGAGGTATTATTTATTAAAATTTAGTGGTTTTCCCCCAAGCAGTGTAGTGTGAGAGGGGGAGGGAGTTGAGTCCATTATTTGAATGGACATTAACTTGGCGACTGTATTTCTCTATTTCTCTAAAGTATTAATTGTGTGCATGTACCATCATAAAATTAAGATGTTATTTTTACTACAACATAGGTATGTGCCTTCAAAAAGTGGAGTTTGGGGGTCGGGCCGGTTTCTATTGGAATTAATCCCATATGTTCTGTTGTTCACTTAACGCGGATTTCACTTAACACGGGACCCTCTGGGTTCAATTGACCGCGTTAAGTGGGGTACAACTGTATTTATTTAATTATTGAAGGATTATTATTTCTGGATTACATGTCTATATCGGACTGGCCAGGAATGTACCCCAGTGAAACCCATGTTAAAGGGCTCATAGTTTATGTTACGGTTTTCAGGAACACAACCCCCATCGTAAATTGGAAAATACCTATATATTAAGAAATGCTAAGTTATGTACTCTAAAAATTTGGAAAACAATTCCAATGCATTAATAACACTTAACTGAAAATCATTAGTTTATACCATGAAGCATGATAAAATATATACACAGTACTGTATATAGCTAACATTATTCAAAATATTTAGAAAGTGGTGTAGTCCATATCGCACAAGAGGTGCGTTTGTTAAATTTTTTCCGCTTAGGAAAGATTTGGGTGAGATCAGGTGTGGTGAGAAGAATAGTCGGAGGGAAGATCTCCTCAACCACAGGTCCGGAGTGTACTTGGTTGATCATAGCAGCTGTGAGCTGAGATCCTGTAAAGGATTAAACAATAAATAACATGTTAGTATTTCCTTTTAATAATACTGTAAACAGAATTGGTACACTGTATATTGACAGTATCACAAGTTGTCACATCTATATTTTTACCAAATTAAATATTTTGATATGACAATACAGTACAGTATTGCATTAAGTTATTAATATCCTATTTACTCAACTCCACTTGTCTATTCTTTAGATGTTAATTAGTTCCCATTAAAAGAGAAAGATTAGAGAAGAATCATTACTTGCATGACAACTTATATCGTTTTCCTTATTTTCCCTACTCTAAAATTATATATATATATATATATATATATATATATATATATATATATATATATATATATATATATATATATATATATATATATATATATATATGTGTATGTGTATATATGTATATGTGTATATGTGTATATGTATATGTATATGTATATCTATATGTAGCCTATATGTATATGTATATATATATATATATATATATATATATATATGTGTATGTGTATGTGTATATATGTATGTGTATATGTGTATATGTATATGTATATGTATATGTATATGTATATGTATGTATGTATATATGTGTGTATGTGTGTATGTGTATCTGTATGTATGTATGTGTATGTTATGTATGTATGTATGTATGTATGTGTATGTATGTATGTATGTGTGTGTGTGTGTGTGTGTGTGTGTATGTGTGTGTATGTATGTATGTATGTGTGTGTGTGTGTATGTGTGTGTGTGTGTGTGTGTGTGTATGTATGTGTGTGTGTGTGTGTGTGTGTGTGTGTTGTATGTATGTATGTATGTATATATATATATATATATATATATATATATATATATATATATATATATATATATATATATATATATATATATATATATATATATATATATATATATATTTTTTTTCCTTTTAGTTGTTCTCCATCAATATAACATTACACTGGTACTACCCAGCCATCTACATCATAAAACTTTATCCTTTTAAAAGTTTTCCCCAAATATTTGCTTAACTATTTCACGGCGGGGTTTCAGCTTAGAAAAATTGTGCTCGCTAATTTATCATTACGGCAGGATTAAAGGCAATCCCTCAAGTTTTGCCATACAGCATGGGCAATATTCTTTGTGTGAATGAGTCAGTGTACTTCATCATGTTGAAGGAGACTAACAGTATGATATGTTTATGCTGCTGCCAACTCAACCTCAGTGGAAAGGCAAGACAGTGCTAATTACCACAATTATCAGTGCATTAGAAACTTAGTTTCACTTATGTTGCTGGAAAGACATCAAACAATAGCAGATAATCCAAGATGAAAATGTAAATAAATTAATTAATCTAGAACTTGAGTCTACATCACGCAAACTTTAATTGCCATTGTTTGCACTTTCAACCTGCCTTACTATGGAACAAAAATACCGAGGGAGGTTGTACAATATAACTACTGCAATGTGTCTGATACAACAATCTATAAGTATGTAACCATTACATATTCTATTCATAAAATCCCAAACAATAGAAAAAAATTAATATCCAAATTTTAAACTTACTCATAGCCCAGGGAGGAATTTTCCTCTTAGGAGCACTGTCCTCATCAGTTGAGTCATCACTCTCAATATCATTTATATCATAATTATTAATATTTTTCTTATATTTCTTGGAGTTTGGTGTAATGTCATAACTATCTTTGTTTTTCCCAGTAGAACTTGACTGAGACGGTCCAGTAGTTTTGGAAAATGTGGTATTAAGACCATTTTCCTTGTTATTACTTAAAGTGAATGTATGATTTAGTCCAGTTTCCTTGTTATCAGCTAGTGCAATCTGTAGGAAAATTACAGTGTGAGATATATAATCATAAGATGAATAAAAGCATTACAACATAATAATCAACAAAATACAATAGAGAATGCTGACAAACTAACCTGAGCACTGAAGCTACAGGTTCATGTGGAAAGTGGACATGAAGATGTTACTAAGGAGCTAAGAAATAATAAATTTGAGAAAAGGATTAGAGGAATACTGATGGAATACAGGCATAATAACACATTAAACAGAACTGAGCAAAAGATGATGTTATCTAAAGGAAGTTCTGCATTAATTACCAATTGTTAAATAATGCAGCAAAAGGAAAATAAGTACTTTAGTTTTTACCTTTTTAACTGCTGAGCTTGTCAATTTAGCTTGTTGTAACTCAGCAATGCGCTGTGCTTCAAGCAATTTAAGGTATTCTAACTCCTTTTTCTCACGGGCGATGCGTTCTACCTCAGCAATTTTTCTACAAAAGAAAATTTTTCTGATATACTACAGTTTCTTCAATAACTAATAAAGCAGAATAAATTAATCATGACTTCACTGGTGCAATTAAAAACAAAAACATCAATGGAATTTTTTTTTTTAGATTTTTTTACGTGGGTTAATTAACCTACCTGTCATATTAAATATATACCGTATATATAGTGTACTATATGTATTTGTAGTACAAGCTTAAGTCTCTCATGGTTAAACATATATGGTATTATTGTTAATAATAAGAAACATCCAATACAATATGTTGTTAAAGATTATCTAAATACAGTAGAAGTCCAAAAATCCGGACTGCTTGGGGATTGGGTCGGTCCAGATTTTCTGATTTTCCGGATTCTCAGGCAGTACTTTTAAAATTCAAATTTAAGGAGGAATAAAGAAGAGATGAACAGATACATTTTGATAGTTTATTCATTAGCAAATATAGCATGCTTCATTTATCAAAATGAGCAGTTTTAAAGAAAAAGCTGTGAATTCTAGAATTTTATTCTTTGCCTTTTTTATATCATAAATTGTAGACTTTACAATGTTGTATGTTTCCATTAGAACAGTATTGCTCACACCACGTTCTATTTTAATTATTTAAAGTTTGTCACCCAATTTCAACGTGTTCTTCTTTCTCTTCACACAACGGAGTTTATCTACTTCAGGAGCCATTATTATGGGCTCTGTAAATGGAAAGAGTAGGACTCAAAATTACATACGTTGTCACAGTTTGATTGCTCGTTTTAAAGTGGCGATCGCTTGTTGTCGCTGTGCAGCTGTGGCGCTCACGCATGCGCACATACACACAAAAGCCAGCTAAAAAAAAAAAAAAAAAAAAGTTTGAGTTTTCGAAAAGTCCGGATTCTCGGGTGGTCCGGATTTCTGGCATCCGGATTTTTGGACTTTTACTGTATATTAATAGTTTTTTTTATTATTCTTAAGAGGAAATACTGAGTGTTTAACTTAGTGTGGATGTACTTACAACCACCTCAAAAAGCCTGTCTCTCCTTCCAAACAAATCAGAATCGAAACTAAACAAATAATTTAGCACCAGCTGTGATGAGATCATGCGCTACATCTACCACCGAGTATTGATTATAATGTCCCTTACATGAAGATGTTATACACATTCCCTCTAAAATTTTGTTCTGATTGTAATAGACCAAAAATATTGAGAGAGAGAGAGAGGGAGAAAATTACACTTTCTTTTTCATTGGTGTTGTTACCCTGAACCTATCTCTCTCTCTCCAGGCAAAGATGGCATGTTATTGACGTTTTCAAGGACAAAGGGCATAATTAAAATTATTCCCTTGATCATTATGACACAGAAATTTCAACATATTTTACATAGGCATCAATAATATGTTAATACCCCGGTCATTGCAAATGATGTGTCCCTAAAATTCTTTGCGAATATCAGGATAATTTCTCCCATAAGAATTAATATAATTATATAATTGGTGGAGGTGTAATGTATTAAAATAAGTATAATACCATAATACAATACAAAACAACACTGCAGAAACACATTTTATTAGCCAAGCATCTTTAGCCTGCAAAAAGGTCACATTATTATACATCCATGGTATCCCTCCCAACCCCCTGGTCGGGGATAATCATATTTTTCTTTTATGGCCCAAACACCCCAAAATGACACTTGAAAATCTGCCTCGTTTAAAGGTGCTGCGAGACATTTAAATCCAGGGCTGGTGCAGTATTCCCAAACCTCTACTCGCTTCCAGTGCTGTCACAGTACTACTGGTTTGTCTTGCAGCCACATATACACATAATGATCACACACACACACACTGTAGGAGGGAGGGAGGTAGGTAGGTAGGGAGGGAGGGAGGTAGGGAGGGAGGGAGCAATGTAGGTGGAAGGCATGTGAGAGAGGGAACAGGGTGGGATGGAGGTAGCAGTATGGGAGGGAGGGAGGGAGGGAGCTAGTGTAGGAGGGAGGAAGGGGTGTGGGTGGATGTAACTATACAGTGGGACGGACTGGTAGGGGTAGGTGAAATGGAGGGAGTACTGGACATTCCTGGAGATGAAGAGGACACCAACCCTCTCTCCTCTACTTGCTGTTTATCAGTGTTGTTTTCCTCTTGTTCAAACACATAGTCTTAGTCACTATCATTATCATCACGTTCAATATCCCTATCAATGCATGCCTCTGTCAATCTATACTCATCTTCACCCCTACCAAATAATTTAGAGTATGTCTCAACCTGATTGAGTGACCGGTTACGTTCACATGCCATGGCTATCGAGAGACTACTGTGTAGTCCCAGGGCCTTGACTGTGAGGAGAGATGGGAGGGTGGGGCCCCCTGGGGAGAGATGGGAGGGGGGGGAACATTTACACAAACAGATTATGGTAGCTAGACTCAATTTCAAAGGTGCGGGAAAAGCAGATTTGGAAAACGTTCTAATACGTGACTGACCAGAGATAATAATATCGGTGATCACGTAATTGAACGTTAATGACCAGTTATGGGTTAAAATAAGCATAGAATATTGATTCACCATGGGTGTAAAAAATTCACTTACTGTAAAGACACACCGACACAAATGTTGTTAATAATTACTAAACTTTGTGATTGTGTGTATAAAATGTGTGAATGAGTAGGAGGCAATACGAAAAAATTTTTGACACAGTATCGACACTACCACACAACGCAACAGATCAAAGCAGACAGAGAGAACTCTTTCGCATGGCCTGGTGTATGAATACACAGCAAAAACAATTAACTATGCAGCCTGCTCACATAGCTTGAGCCACCAAGCACCAGAGATGACACACACCTCCAGCATGTTCCTTATTTTGCTCCTGAAAAGTTAAATATCATCATACATAGAAAACAAAACTCCATTATGAAAACACATATGGCCTCCACCCAAAAAATCCCACCAAGCACATTATATACATTGTACCCTACTTGCGGTCAACAAGTTCAGGGACCCCAGAGATCGCGTTAAGTGAAATATCCGCTGTAACCAGAACATATGGGATAATTCAATAAAACAAGCCCGACCCCAAACTCCACTTTGAAGGCACATACCTATGTTGTAGTAAAAAATAACATCTTAATTTTATGATGGTACATGCACACAATTAATACTTAAGAGAAATAGAGAAATACAGTCGCCAAGTTAATGTCCATTCAAATAATGGACTCGACTCCCTCTCACACTACACAGCCGGCTAACAGATGGTCGGTCGGTCCCTCCCTCCCACCCCCCCCCACCCCCCCACCAACCGTCCTAAGGAGATGTGTGGGATAACCTCAAACTAAAGTTAGGAAAATATAATTGACATTGCTGGATTCCTTGTAAGACCAGGAATATTTTGAATATAAATGTCATATATTTTGCACAAAAGATAACATAGTTACTCAGAAAATTTTTTTATCTAAAATTTGTATGTCTAATGCAAAATATATGATGTTTATATTCAAAATGATCACCAAATTATAAGAATTCCAGCAATGTAAATTATATTCTGGCCGGGTAATTTGTATGAATTTTATGAGCTAAAACAAATATCTTCAGTTAATAAAAAAAAAATAATCTTCACGACACTATCTGTCAATCAAAGTACCCCACCTTGCCTCCCCCCCTCTTCCAACCGCGCGGTCAGTCCCAACCCTCCCCCCCACCCCCCACCACTCCTCCCTTCCAGAGTTTTTAACATTTAGTATTAAATAACCTCAGATTAAAGTTAGGATAATATAATTGACATTGCTGGATTCCTTGTAAGACCAGGAATATTTTGAATATAAATGTCATATATTTTTCACAAAAGATACCATAGTTACCTAGAGAAAAATTTTTATCTAAAAATTGTAAGTTTAAAGCAAAATATATGATGTTTATATTCAAAATGATCACCAAATTATAAGAATTCCAGCAATGTAAATTATATTCTGGCCTGGTAATTTGTATGAATTTTATGAGCTAAAACAGGCAGTCAGGCAGGGTGGCGGGTGGGGCAAATCTAAAAATAGCGTCTCGGACACTCACGGCGTATATGTGGAAAAAATCCGCGTTAAGTGAAAGTTCAGCTTTGGCAAGGCACCGCGTATATGCGAAAACGCGTTAAGTGAAACCGCGTTAGGCGGGGTAAAACTGTATATACGTAATGCACAGCCACACATTAATCCTTTATCATGCCTAAAATAAACCAAATTAAATGACAGTAACCAGCAGAAATATTCCATTAAATTGGAAATGAAGAGAGATGCAGGCATAATTAACGACCATTAAAGAGGAACAAAATTTACAGCATAATCAGCCGAGTCTTGGGGTCAAAAGTCCATAGCTGGTAACAGCATCGTACCTGGCATCTCTGCTGTAATGGTCATGATAAGAGCTAACCTGAAAACCTTAAGGATTCATATTACGCTCAAACGTCCACAAAACCCTTTGAGTCTCCCAGTGGAAACGTCCCCCGTTTTCTCTGTTTCCCCCGCCTTTGTCTATGGGAGCAGACGCTGTATGCTGGGACCTGTTGCCATCCATTCCTTTGTGATCAATTTAATTTTGCTTTCGATAGCTGAGTCAGAGCATTGTTAGTGAAGATAATAGTAGAGAATGAAAATGAGTTCATAGTCTCAATTTCAACGTCAGAGGGTACCGTAAATTAATTCATCAGAATAGGAGTAGCTGGACTCCCTGGTCTGGTTTGAGTGAGGGCACGCGGGCATTTTAACCGTTAGTAAGTGCCCGTCCCTTCATCCATACAGGTATGCCATTCCACGCTGTGTTGTAATTTGCCCTTCTTTAAGTGATTTGACCCAATTGATAGTTGATTGTGCAAGTGTTACAGTAACGTAGTTGATATGCTCTGAGTAAAGTCATATTTACGTCTTTAACGTCCCCTGAAACGTGTTGTTGTTGTCACCGTTAGTAAGTGCCCGTCCCTTCATCCATACAGGTCCCTAACGCAGCCTAGGCCGTGTCTGTAGGGTGGATGTTGTATCCACTATGTCTGGGGACATGTCCGAGGTCCAGTAGGATCAGTTACCTTCGTGAGACCCGGCCGTCAGACACTTCAGACCACCTATAG